AATTATATAAATATATATGTATTTATTTTATCTTTATATATTTTGTTTATATTAATTTATATATTTAGGAAAAGTTTTGTTTACTTAAAGACTAAATGATTTTTCATAGTTCTTATTATGATGCCGATAATAAATGTTTTTCTTGTAAAAAATACGGTCATGGAATATTAAACTGCAACGACATAATACATAAAAAACATAAAAATTAAATCATATAAAAATTTATGTATTCCGAAGAATAAAAACGCGAAAATTTTACTCGTTATAAAATTCAGTTAAAATCTTTAGAACAACTATAATTAATATCTTATGAACTAAAAAATATTCGAACTACTATAATATAAAATATCAAAAAAGATAAACTTGGCATCTACAATAACCTTTTACTTAAAAATGACTATGACTTTTTCAAAGAAGCATTATAAATTGGTATTAATTAAGATAAATAATTTGCTTTGATAGAAAATAATATTCAAGAAGAAGATGAATTATTAGAATACGATGAAACAAATTAAATTAGTAATGAAGTTTCAGATTATAGTTTAAGTTTAAAAAGTTTAGAAAATATATGTAATAGTAAAAAAAGAAATAATACAGCGCACGAAACAAGTTTTTAAAGTAGTATTTTAAGTAATAATAAAAAAAATAATTAATATTTAAATACTGAAGATATAGAAAATAATTTTATAATAAATAAAATAATAGATGAGGATATATAATATATTAATTTTGATTAAAATAAAAAAAAATTATCTTATAATTAAAATGATTTTTTTTCAAATAAAAATTTATAAACCTTACAATAATATAGTGATGAAAGGTTTTAGCTTTTACCTATAAAGAAACAAAATATAGACTATAATTAAATATAGATGAAATATGGAAAAAATATTATAACAAAATAAACACAAGTAATTAGTTCTAATAATGAAAATTAAGAAAAAGAATAAATAATAAAAGAAAATCAAACTAAAAAAATAAAAATTAATAAAAAAAAAGAAAATAAATAAAAAAAAGGATTAATTGAAAAAAATAATAATAAAGATAATAATAAAGATAATAATATAGATAATAATATAGATAATAATAATAATAATATAATAATAATAATAATAATAATAATAATAATAATAATAATAATTATAATATTAATTAAAATTTAAATATTCATTTTAATTTAGAACAATCAAGTTAATTAAACACTGAATATGAAAGAAATATTGGAATCTTTGATATTAAAAATAATATATATAATTTAAACTAATCTATTTTGTAATTTTATAATATTGACTTTGATAAAATAAAAGAATATGAAATATACTATCCAAATTATAATTTTAGTGTTGTAATAAAAAATATTGTGATTAAATAAAAAAAGAAAATAATGTTTTTAAAAAATAAAAATTATTATTTTAGTTCGAATTCATAAATAAGAATTTAAAGTCCATAAGATAAATTATTAATAAAAAATAACTCATATCTATATATTTAATAAAAAAAAGATAGAATTATAAATTGATAAAAATGTTTAAAAATTTTATAAATAATAAAATATACAAAATTATAAAAATATTATATTTGTAAAAAAAAATGTATAAAAAAATTATATGAATATATAAATATTTTAATATAAATAATGTAAAAATTTAAAAATATATATATTTATATATATAATAATTATATATATATATATATACTTATATTTATTTTTATATATATGTCTATATATATTATTTTTTTAATTTTGTTTTTTATATTTTTATAATTAAATTACATTATATAAAAAATAAAGTTTTTTAAAAAAATGATAATTAAATTTATACTATACTTTTAACTTTACTAACTAATATTTATTTATATATATATGTCTATATATATATTTTTTTTAATTTTTGTTTTTTATATTTTTATAATTAAATTACATTATATAAAAAAATAAGTTTTTTAAAAAATGATAATTAAATTTATAACTATACTTTTAACTTTACTTTATAATATATTAGCAATATAATCTAATTTTTTGACTTAATAAACGTAAAACACGACTTAAAAATCACTTTTAACAGCATAAATTTAAAAACTATAAAAAAACTTCAGTCCTAATATTAAAAAATATCTTAATTTTATCGATTTTTCCCTCCTTAATTAGCCAAAAAAAAAGGCTTATATTCATCTGGAATACACGGAAATGTAATTGATCTTAATAATAACTTTTTAACTCATTTGCTACGAACCAAAATTTCTTTTTATGATAATAATATGTTTACATCGAATTTCGTACTTCATTCATTATTAGATTGCGCAGAAATGAATACTATAGATCTCAACTAAAATTAATTCTCAGAAACTATAGAATCTATATTTGATTTTAGAGATAAAAACTCTCCCTAAGGGGTACCAATATACTCATTTTGGGAATAAACATAAGTAAATGATACTTAATAATATAAAGCATACCCTGAAAATCTTTAAAATTTAGTTCTAGGAATATCCCACTCCCCAAATTTCGTAAAAGCCATACTGAAAAAATGGGTTATGGCTTTGTCGCCAATGTAGAAAATTATTCTTAAATATTCCAAATACCACCTGACAATGACGATTCTTCTGTAAATATAGCGTTAGGTTAAAGAATATATGCTTCTGAGTTAGTAAACGAAGAAATTAAATAGAAATGGTATAAACATAATTTCCATATAAAAGGTTATTATGATAAAGTTAAATAATATTCATATAATCCTTTCCTAAATAACACTATAGACACAAGAACCTATTATGCTTTTTCGAAATTTTTTAATTATTTAAAATAAAATAATAGAACCGAAACTTCTTATTTCTTCACGACGTGGATTTTGGACTTTTCGGAGGAAAAAAAAGACGTTATGTATATCCCTTTACACGTAAATAACGTTGATGTTAGTGTAAATGCTAATATTTTATATGGATTGAACAATTTTTTAATATGGGAGTAAAATATTACATTAATAGAAGATGTTTTTGACTAAAAATTATAGAATATGTATATTTTAAGTGCTGAATTAATACATTATGTGCTCCAAAATAATCTTACAGAAACACATCCTGATATAATTATGCTTTATTATCCCTCCATTAATGACTTTTATTGGTTTATAGCTCGAAATGTATATCTATTAAATAGCTTTTAACCTAAAAAAGACTATAAAGTGATAAATTAAGCTCGATAAATTCTCACAGAAGCCATGAGAAAATACGTAACTCCTAAAATAATATCCGAAATGAAAAAAGATGACAAAGATAACTCATATTGGGATTAATTTTTAGGAAATTATGCAAATAAAACTCGAGGCGAAGACCGAAATTTCGCTACTATAATGAATTTAAATGCAATAATAGACTCTTGGACTATTGGAGATAAAAAAGAACGATCATATATAAAAGAAACAACTAAAGAATTAAAATAAATAATAAAAACGGAATTTAAAATTTACTTTAAAAAAACACTTTCAATAATAATAATATGAATTCATTTTTTTCTGGTAGTTTTAAAACATATTCTTCAATTATATGGAATTATCCTGCTAATTCGGCTACTTTTAATAATGGGACTACTATTGATCCGTTTAAAAATATTACAAGTGATCTTTTGGATATTTAATATGCAGTTAAAGGGTATGTTGATTGAGATTAATATCAATAAATGATCAAAAATCATACTTTTAATGGAATTCATACTGTAGAGTAGTTTTTAGGATATAATGTATTTAACTTTACTTGGCCTTATTGGTAATCGGATGCTATTACTTTTTCATTAGGAATGAGTTTATTAAGTAAATACTCTGTTTTATAGGAATGAATATAAATTGTTTTTGTTTTATCTATAATTTTTTAGTATATATAATATTAATTTTATTTAAAAAAATATATATATTTAATTTATATAATATAATTAAATTACATATTAAAATAAAATTTAATTATATTTTTATTTATTTTTGCTTAAAAAAATGGAATAATAGAAAAAAAATCTCTTTTTATTAAAAAAATCTACTAAACAAATCTAAAATTTAGCCAAAAATTATTTTGTGGCACCCCTACACACTTCCTAAAACAACTCTATAAGCCTTTTATCTTAAAAAAGCCTATTATCCTAGAAAAGAAATTTATTAAATCCTTTAAAAAAATGCATATAACCAAATATTCTAATAAAAAAGAGTTTAACTACCCAAAGTTTAACTTTAAAAAGCCTTAAAAATATAATCGAAAAATGTTGCTTTAAGACTAAGCCTGGACAATTTACGTTAAATATTTAAAAAATAAATCAAGATTCATATATTATATAATAGAATTTTTATAAAAATCATCATATTTTTGGTATTTCAGATGGACATGGATAAAATGGATAGTAAATAAGTTAATTTATATTAGAAAACCTAAAAATTAGTTTTTAATAAAATATCGAAAAAAATCCATAGAACCCTTCTTAAGGATTAAAAAGTGCCTTTTTTTCCACAAACTAAAGTTTACTCTAAAATTCAAATATAAATAGTGATTTTTCAGGATCAACTGCTATATTTCTATACATGAATTCCAACAAAATATACACGGCAAATACAGGAGACTCCAGGGCTTTTATAGCCTCAACTATTGAAGGCGAATGGAAAGTTAAAGAACTATCCAAAGACCATAAACCTGACGATGAAAAGGAAAAACAAAGAATTTTATAGAATGGAGGTCGTGTAGACTTCTATAAAAACGAAGATTCAATTCCTATAGGACCTTATAGAGTTTGGCTTAAACATGAGAATGTTCCAGGACTTGCTATGTCGAGATCTTTTGGTGATAAAGTGGCTTCTTCAGTGTGTTTTTTGTTTTTTTTTGTTTTTTTAAATAAATTTTTATTAAGGTAGGAGTTATTTGTGATCCAGATATAAATATACATAATATTAGTTAGGAAGATAAATTTATAATTATAGGTTCTGATGGAGTTTTTTAATTCCTTTCAAATGAATAAATAATGAATATAGTAGCAAATTATTACCATAATGATGATTGTTAGGGAGCTTGTGAAAAAATAGTCAATGAAAGTGTAAAAATGTGGAAAAAACATTAAAAAATGGTTGATGATATAACTGTTATAATCATTTTTTTAAACAAAGACTAATATAGTTTTTATTGATTTATATATTTAGTTTAGTTTATAATTTTTTTATAAATATTAATTTATATTTATTTATTAAAAAATAAAAAATAAAAAAATGAATAAACCAGATAAAAATCCTACTTTTATTAAAGATTTCGTTTAAAATTTATAAAGCGAAATTTCCAAATTAAACTAAATATTAAAAAAATACAATTTATAATAAAATGAAGAATCATATAAGTATATATATATTTATATATATCACAAAAAAAAAAAAAGTTGTGAAGATTTATTAATTAATTTTGGCGAAGAAATGATGGAAAATTATATTTAGTCGAAAATACCTGTAACAAAAAATATATATTATAATTCGAAAAATATAAAAAAAGAAACACGAATAACTAAAAGAAATATTAAAAGCCGATGACGAAAATAAAAAAAAGACTTAATAATAAAAAGCAAAAACCCATATAAAATTATCCAAAAAGCAAAAGAAAATATCCTAGATATCAAAAAAGAGTCCCTTAATATGTGCTATTTAACCGAAAATTTAAACCTTCCTTTATTTTCAAACCAAATAATAGACAAAATAGAAGATTTTGACTCTTACAAACTATTAAAAAGACATTAAAAGCCTAAATAAATATACAAAAATATGATGGATCATCCCATATAGAAATTAATTGAATAAGAAATCCCTTATACAATCCCTGAAGAGCGAAAATTAAACAAAAACCATAGTATTATAAGTATTTCTATATATAGTAGTATCAATGGGTCTAAATAAAACGAATTTTATGTCTATGATACTTAATTTTTACATGAGTTAGTAACTAAAATAGATTGTCTAGCCGAAAAACTGGAACAAAAAATACAAAACTAGCCCTAAAAATCTAAAAATTTGTAAATAAATAAAAAAAAATATATATTTATTTATTTATTTATTTTTTTTTTTTTAAAAAAAAAAAAAAAAAAAGAATGCCTTGTTTTCTATTTATAGAAAATACATTTTATAATAACCAATATAATATAGATATTAAAAATCTTTGCAAAGACTTTTTACATATACGAGACGAAAATGAAAGCCAAGAGCTATTATATAAATCTAAAACACTGAATGAGGTCTTCGAAGATATTAAAATCTAAATAGGGAAGCCTTATGTATATAGGCATGGTAATTAATGTGATCATATGATAGTTTTTAATTAAATTAGGATGTGGAATACTGATTTACCTTAAGATAAAGATTTATATGCTTTAAATTATTTCCTTCCTAAAATTAAAAGAAGAAAATGTGAAGGATGTTTATTATATTTTGCTGAGTATTTATTATAACTTTTTAATTATTATTAAATATAATATATAATAATAGTATTGTTTGTTTTAATGATAAAATTTCTAATAAAAATCCTGTTTATTTTTGCGAAAAATGCTATAAAGAAATACACTTAGAGTAAAAAACAAAAAAATTAATTTTTAAAATAAAATAAAACAAAACAAAAAAAAATAGTGATAACTAAAAGTTAAAATATAATGATTTTTCATATTATCCTTATTTATATGAATGAAAATAAAAAAATAACAAAAAAAAAAACAAAAAAAATAAAAAAAAAAAATAAACAAAAATAAACAAAAAAATATGAAAATAAACGAATTCCTATCTATATCAATCCAACTCCTAAACCAATCATCAAAAATAATAAACGAAATCCGCCAAACATCCATAAACCACAAATGGAAAGGCCACAAAGACCCCGTAACAAATGCCGATTACAAGTCTTAAGCCATAATAATCCAAGGTCTAAAGTATTACTATCCCAATCTACGTATAATAGCCGAAGAAGATGAGGAAAAAGACCCCATAATAGAAAAATATATAGCAAAAAATGACATTAAACTGACAAAAATAAACACAAATTTAATCCCATAGACTACTTTTTAAAATAATACCTTAAATATATCTAAAGCCACAGCATGGATAGATCCTTTAGATAGTACTATTTCTTATTTGAATGGATAATATGAAGATGTGACAAGTCTTTTAGGCTTAACCTTTGAAGAAAAGCCTATTGCGGGTATTATTTGTAAGCCTTTTAATTCCTAAAATTAATTTTTTCCTAAAATTTATTATGGGTATGTTTTAGGAGGCAAAAAAGAAGTCTATTTTTTGAATGGATAAGAACTTGATCAAAATGATTTCTAGTTCAACAAATAAGTATATAAAATTATTAAAAAAAAACATTCCTAAAATTAATAATCAATGTCAGATTTAAGAGTTGCAGTTTCAAAAGATATCGAAGATACAAAATAATTAGATGTTATTAAATCATTGCAACCTTCGTAAATTATTGAATGTGGAGGTTCGGGGAGAAAAGCTTTACTTATACTTGAAAATGAAGCAGATTATCTCATATATTTATCAAATAAAGCCTCAAAATGGGATATTTGTGCACCTGAAGCTCTCCTTAAATGCTTAGGTGGGTATTTAACGGATATTTATGGAAAAGAATATTTATATGATTCTAATGAATCAGATTTTAGTAATTCAAACGGTTATGTTTATGCTTTAAGATCTGATATTCTTCAAAAAGTATTACCAAAATTATAAAAATTCAAAATAGATTGATTTTCAAATAAAAAAAAAATATATGTAAAATAAACATTTATAAATAAATATTTATATAAATTTTCTTAATATAAAATATATATATAAAATTATTAATTATTAAAAAAGCAAAATTTAAAAAAATAATGATAATTAATAAATGTAATATATAAATATATAAATATATAATAATATAAATCCTTATATATATATGTATTAAATTATAATTTTATATATTTATATTTTTTATTAATCAATTTATTTATTATGAAAATTATCATATTTTTTATTAGAATTTATAAATTTTTATATTTAATATGTTTAAATATTGAAATTTATAATAAAATAATTTTTAAATATAAATTTTTTTTGAAATTCTTATATGTATAATTAGTTTTAATATTAAAAATTTTAATTTTTTAATTAAAATACAAATAAAATATATTTATTAAATTATTTTATTTAATTTTTTTTTATTTTATTTTTTCTATTTTCTTAATAATTTATTAAGTATTTAAAGTTTAATATTTATATTTAATTTACAATAAATATCCAATTATATTATATAATTTATAAAAAACTATTATTGTGATAAAATATTAAATTGTCCTTTTTTTTAAAAAATCTTTTATTATTTATATTATTAAAAATTATTTTTGTTAATAAATTAAATTAAAAAATAGTTATTTTAAATATATTAAATATATTATACAATAATTTATATTTTAAACAAGTGTAATTAATTTTATTAATATAAATAAAAAATAAAAAATTAATATGCAAATATATATATATTTATTAACATATATAAAAAACTTTTATTATTTATAATATATTCTCTAATATTTTTAAAAATAATTTTTAATTTTTATTAATACATTTTTATAAATAAATGAAAAATTATTTTTATATTAAATAAATTGTTTTGGCAAATAAAAATATATATTAAAAAATAATAAAAGAATAATTTTTATAAACATAAATTATTAATTTTCAATAATAGAAATACTAAATTATAAATAATTCATATATAGAAATATAGCTTTTAGCACATATAATTTAATATAATTTTATAATTATTAAAATTAAAAAAATATTTATAAAAAAAGTTATTATAAAATTAAAATAGTTATTTTTAAAAAAATGTCAAAAAAAGATTGCCCATTTGCATTTTTAAAAGGAAATGATGATGAATTTAATTCTGCAATGAAAAGTTTAGATGATATGTATAAAGAAATGATGGATATTCCAAAATATGAAACAAAAGAATGTAATATATATTAAAATATATATATATTAAATAATTTTAATATTATTTTAAATGATAAAATATAATTATTATATTGAAAAAATTAAAATAAATAAATATATATACATATATAAATATATACATATATACATATATACATATATACATATATACATATATACATATATACATATATACATATAAATAAATATTAATATATCTATATTTAATAGAATATAATGATTTTGTATCTGGAATTCCTATTAATTAAAATATATTTAATTCTTCATAACCTGTCTAATTATAAAATAATTTTTAATAAAATTCTAATAATTAATATTTTTTAAATTAAGCATAATAATATTATTAACCTCCTCTTATAACTAATTCTTAAAATAACTTATAATATTAATAAATCTATAATTATCCTATTTTACAAAATAATTATTAAAATTAATATTATTAACAAAATTACAATTAATTTTAAAATAATTTTATATAAGGAAATGGATTATAAGTAGAATAATTTAATATTTTTGATGTAAATAATCCTTAAATTTAAAATAACTAATTAAATGCCAAACTTCTTAATAAATATTAATGAAAATATTAAAACATATCCAATTTAGTAATTTACATACAAATATTAATTTTTTTTAAATAAATTTATTTAATTTCTTTTTATTAAATATTATTTATTATTAAATATGTCTTTTTGAAATTTTTATTTATATTAATTTGTATTTATTATAAAAATCACAATTGATAAAACAATTACAATAATAAAACTTGATATTGCTTCTTTTATTTATTTTATTAAAAAAATAATATAAAAAACAAAATAAAAACATGATTTATAATATATATAGATTATTTTTATTATATAGTAAAAATTCTTATTCTTTATTATAATGATATACCAATAATACATAAATATTTTTAATTTTTTTTCATAAAAAAATTCGAAATTTATTATTTAAAATATATTTATTATTTATTTAATAGTAGAAATTGACAATAAATTATAATAATTTGTATTTTATTTATATTTATATATTTTTTATTAAATTAAATAGTAAATTAAAAAAATAAATTATAAAATTTTATAGTATAAATTTATTTTGATATTAAAATATTTAATATAAAATAAAAATATGGTAAAAAAGTAAAATATTTAATTCGATAATTTAGTCCAAAAGCAAAATCAAAAAAATGAGCACTAACAAAACATAATAAATGAAAAAAAAAATGAAAAAATAAATTAAATAAAAAATTAATTGGGATATTAAAAACTTGCAAATAAAAAAAAATATTTAACCAAACATTAAAAGTTTTAATTAAAATTCAAAAACATTAAAAACGTAGATGTAGTAGATTTAAAAGAAAAAGAGATTACAAAAACATATAGTGAAAATTATAAAAACTATTTATTTTAAAAAATGAAAAAAAGAACTATTAATAAATTAAAATTAGATAAAGAAATTGTTAAAAAAGCTTCATAGTCTTTAATTAATTTAAATAAAAATAAAAAAAATATCGATTAATTCATTTATATAGAAATAATATTATAAAAATAGCCTGAAAAAATATTAATAAAACCAATCTAAATGTAAATTTATAAATTATTTACTAATATAATAAAACAAATAATTAAAGTGAAATACCTTATCCTATATATCAAGATAGCAAATTTTGTATTTTAGGAGATTAATAGCTTATTTAAAAAATATAAAACCTAAAATTAAATACTTAATTCTGTAGAATCGTTGATATATAAAAATTAGATTAGAAACTTTTTAAAAAACTATAATAAGAACATGAAGTTATTTTTGTTGATAAAAATTAATTCGAAAATAAAATAATTTAAAAAACAAAAAGTAAATATATATTTTCTTTAATAAATATATAAAATAATAAAAAAGATTACCTTTTCCAATTAATGCAGAATAAGTACCCGAAAATTTAAAATAATAATTTAATGATAACTACGCTTAATATTTAAATAGTTTATCAAATTATGTTTATTTTAATATAACAGGTGGATAATAAATAACGTAAAAAAAAAAAATATATATAAAATATATAATAAATTAAAAAAAGAATAATAAAAGGTGCGAAATTAGAAATGGATTTAAAATAAATAGTAAAAAATATAATAAATGTAATTTATAATAGTGTGCCTCATTTGTTAAATTAAAAACCAAACATAATCGTGTAGAAAAATTAATATTAAAAGTGTTAATTCTATTCCGTTAACAATATATGAAAACAAAAATAAAATGAATAATAATAATAATAATAATAATAATAATAGTAATAATAATAATGATAATAATAATAATTTTAATAATGAAATTATTAATATTAAAAATAATTTATAAATTTCTTAAATTTATTTTTTATTTGATAATTATTAAAATAATGTTTTTTTTTTTTACTATTATTATATATAAAAATAAAAATATATAATAATAAAAAATAAAAAAAACGATATTTATTAAAAAAATAAAAAAGCTGTTTATTTCTAAAAATATAAATTTTAATTATGGAAAGAATTTTAGGGAATACAAATTAATCAAAAAAACTAGCAAATCAATATTTAAAAATTAATATTATTTTTCAAATTTAATTCCAATAAATAATACTCATCCAAAAATAATTAAAAAACATTTACTTTAAGAAATGGTAAATTTCTTAATTAAGAAAAATCTTTAAGTAATTAATTACATAAAACTGAATATTTAGAAAACTATATTAATAAAGAAAAACATATAAATACTTTCTAAAATATAAATTACTAGCAATAAAATACAAATTGTAATTAAAATGATTTAAAAAAATTAAAAAATATGACATTTGAATAATAATAAAACAAAAATAAAGAAAAATTATTTAAATTTTAAAAAAATTATAAATAAAATAATTAAGAATTAATATCAAATGAATAATAATAATTAAAAGAAATAGATTGTAAAGAAAATAATATTTATTAAAATTAAATATAAGATAAAAAAAAACAAATAATAAAAATTAAAATTTTAATATCGATTAAAATGATAACTAAGATACTCAAATATAACAAGATATTGAAAATATACAATTTTTTTTATAAAACGAAGAAAAAATATAATAAAGTGATCATAAAAAAGGCTAAGAAAAAGAAAATGTAATAAGTTAAGATAAAGAATAAGAAGAAGAAATACTATTAAACAAAATTGACAATTCAAAATAAAAAAATTGAAAAACGAAACAAATTAAAAAAATGAAATAATAAAAAAATACATAAATATAAATAAAAATTATTTTCAACATATAGAAGGTAAAAAAAATAAAAAAATATAAATTAATATAAATTAATTAATATGTTTAATAAAATATGATTATAAATATAAATATAAATATAAATATAAATATAAATATATATTTATATATTTATATATTTTATATATTTATATATTTATATATTTATATTTTTATATTTATATTTTTTAAGGGAATATGTGATTGTTATAGATGTGAATGTGGAAGGTGTAAATGCTTCTTTTAAAATCCTTTAAATTAAATAAATAATATTCTTTAACATCCCTAATAATCAGTATATACAAAATATTACAATATCTCCTAAAATGATCAATCCAAAATTTTTAATTAAAAACAATCTCTTTAAATTCCTTAAAATTTAATAAATAATATCAAGTAAACAGTTGATATAAAATCTACTCATAAAACTGATTATTTATAGCCTGACTAATAATTTTATGTAAATAACCAA